CTATTGCCATGCTTCACCACGCTCATACTAAAGAATTTTCTCCTAACATCTAATGTAAATCTCCTTTTTTTAGTTTAAAACCATTCTTCCTTGTCCTACCACTATCTGCCCATGTAAAAAAAATGCTCACCATCTTTTTTATAAGACCCTTTTAAGTACTGAAAGGCAACATCTACAACAACTCTTCTAGCTGTTCATATGAATTCTCATTTTCCTCAGTAGGATATCTCAGGCAATGCTCTAAAGTAAACCCCATCCCCTAAAAAAGAAAACACCACAAAAAATAATAGATAATTATGATGCAACGTGCCTTAAAGGGACATGTATCATTACCTCTCAGATTCTGAGCTACAGCCTTGAAGATGAAGGGAGGTCTGGTAGAGACCTAGGCAAGTCACCTAGACCGGCCCATTGGCAAAGAAAGATTGAGGTGCAAGTAGCAGACAGGGTTTCTAAGTGTAAACTGCATGTTTGCATGGAAAATGCATTCTCAGAACCCAGCTGTGCTGTAAGAGCCAGTATTTGTCTTCCTTTAGAAAGCCATGCAGATTGTTTCTGGACCTGCATGAAAGAGATGAGATACTCTTTTTTTTTTTTTTTTAAAGGGTGTTGTGTCAATGTTGTCTTCACTCAAACATTTTTACTGTAGTTAAACAAGATTACTTATAGGCTATGGGGTATTTCGTGATCTCTTCTTGATGTCTCAAACAGCTAGATCACTTCATAGCAAATTTAGGCTTCATCTCCAAAGCGTATTTATTATTTCTTGCTGTGAAGCTGAAACACCTAATCTTGTCTTTTCTCCTATTTTCCATCACTGCATAAATAATATGCTTCTGGGCAGCCTTGTATTGATCTATAAAGCCATCATAAATTTTCCAGGTTCAGATTCAAGTTGCATTAACTGGAAAAGCAGATCACTGCAAAATGCAGTATTCTCAAGGATCAATAAATCTTGCTATCAGAACAGATGACGGTTTTCACTACCTCCCCTCCAATTCCAACCCACCTTTTCAGAGGGAAGCAGGACATCTGGCTGTACAGGAGGAGTGGTCACAACCAAGTTCCCACAGTACCCACTAGTGTTGTTCTTCCCATGGCAGCAGCATCGCCACTCTGGCTACTGGACTAGGCACAGGTGCCAGAGCAAAAGAAGGGCTTGAGTTGGCAAGTTAGTTGAAGTAGTGTTGAAAGAGCATTTCAGGCTTACCAGTCATCTTTCTCTCTTAATAGAATTGGGGTGTGCCAGGTCTGCGTCAATCACTCATGTAATCCCTTTTAGTATTCTGCTTTTTATTAGGCTTGATTGTTAAAATTTAATGATGCATGTCAGTGTTTCCTATTTTAATTCCCACAAAGGATGTTTTTTCTTGTAAATATCCCTTAAATATCAAGAACAACAGTGCGCCATTTAGATTTTTTTCCTCTTCCTTGCATATTTTTAATTGTAAAATCACTAGCATGGACAGCTGGTCACAGTGAAATCTCATTGCAAGACACATTGCTGCATTAGACTTGTTGCTGGCTGTTTTACCAGGAACAGCTGGTCACAGAAATTTTATCTGGTGAAGCATTTATTCCAGGTCATAGATCCATTTCCAACAGTTGGAGATGAAGTTTCACTACAGTTACTACAGCGACTTCACTTCTGCATCTTTTCACTATAGAGAAGATTCATATAAAGACATTTCTCATGTGGCCAACACAGCCAAAATACCCTGGAAAACTGAGAAATTATAAAAGAACTCATGGCCTTTCAGGGAGATTAGACTGGGTGAAATCACAGATTCAGGTGTCTGTATCCTACCTTTTCAGGGTAGGATTTTAATCAAGACTGTCAAAGCCACTTGCCTTTTATTATTACAACCACAAGGAAAATGAAGGATCTTACATTCTATAAGTGCCATTAGCAAGAAGATTTACATATTTAACCCCTGTTCCTTTGGTCCCAGTGACTTCAGAAGTGGTTCTGTGCAAATTTACCTCTCTAATGATCAGAAAAATTGCTTAGAAATCTTGCACCCCTTACTCCTTTGCAAGTCCTATAATCAGCACCTACTCACAAAGAACCATACATTTCTTTTAACAGCTGAAAATGCTGAATTAAAAGCAATGTCTGATTTTACTCCTGGTTGCCTTTATCACCTGGGCTAAGATTTGGCATAGTACAGTCCCAACAAATGCTAACTGAGCATTAGCAGCAGCACTGAGCAGAGCAACAACACAATTAACTCACAGTAACTGATGGCCTGGTGGGACTCACCCTCCCTTCCTCCAACCATCCTACTGATGATCCTCTACTGGAGGAAAGACCCCTGCATCCAAAAGCAGTTTTGTTGCTTCAAAGTCAACTTCTCTTGGACCCCCAGGCATGAACTGGCATCAGAGCTTTGCCCCATACATGGATGTGGCCAATCTGACAAGCTGATGAAAAAGAACAAATCAGGTAGTTAGAGCAGTATCTCAAAGTTTGGTATGATAACAAACAGAGCAGATGGCTTGGGCTCAGTAGGATGCCCTCTGTCTACATGAGAATATTAGCTTTTTTTTAAAAAAAAGAAACAACAAACCTCTGTCCTCAGCTTTACCAGCTGGGCTCATCTTGGGCTGTCTCAGTTTCCCCTGACTACTGTTCAAATGTTCTGATGTGGTTTTCAAGGAATAAATAATGTAATTTTGGGTCTTTTTGCTTTAACCTGTTTTGAGCCTTGGTTTTCTTTCTAGACCCTATATTTTAAAGTTTAAAATGCTATTTATCACTCTTCAAGTTTTCTATTTAATTTATAATTGATCACTAAAACCAGAAGACAGATGTACCAATCAAATCTGTTTGGGGACACACACACACAGCTGGCATAATTAATAGCATCTTTAACATTAGGCAAGATAGAATCACAAAATTCTAGGGACTGGCTGGCTCCTCTGGAGATTCTCTAATCTCACCGCATGCTCCAGCAGGATCAGGGGCAACAGGTTGAGCTTTCAATATCTCCAATAATACAGAACAGTATTGTTTCATTGTTAAAAAAATAAAAGTATCTACAGAGAGCCAGAGTTGGCTATCTTGCTAGTTCAGTGTGTAAACAGTTTCTGATGGTACTATTGTCTGAGATAATTAGTCTCATTAACAATTTGGGAACATCTTTTGTTAGCAGAATATTTTCAGATACATCTTCCCATCTAATTCAAGAAAAATGCTTCTGCTTTCCTGTATTCCGATGGTAAAAATTATTTTGTTTTGTGGACAGGGCATTTTAACCACTTACACAATACAAATGTCACTGCAACCAGAGTATCTTGTAATACTTGGTATTTCTTTAATACCAGATATATCAGAGTTTCTTATGGTGCTTCAGGAAAGAGAGCTTTGTGGCATGATATTTTTGGGTACCTGCAGGCTGGTCACATGTCCTATGTCCTACACTTCCCCTGATGGGTTAGTCACAACCTTTTGGTCCATATTTCCTCTTCACTCACAACCACTGGCATCTCAGGTTTTGTTTCTGGCTATCCTTTGCAACAAGGAAAATCTTCACAGAATCAAAGAATTTGCAAAGTTGGAAGGGACCCACAAGCATCAACTCCAGCCGTTAGCTCTGCACGGTACCATCCTCAAAAGTCACACCATGTGACTGAGAGGATCCTCCAACCACTTCTTGAACTCTGTTGGGCTTGGTCCTGTGACCACTTCCCTAGGGAGCCTGTTCCAGTGCCCAGAGCCACCCTCTGGGTGAAGAACCTTTTTCTCAATCTAAACACTCCCCTGACAAAACTAGGCTAATTCCCTCGGGTCCTGCCACTGGTCTCCACAGAGAAGAGATCAGTGTCTGCCGCTCCTCTTCCCCTCATGATGAAGTTATAGGCTGTGATGAGGTCTCCCCTCAATCTCCTCTGGAAGCCAGTTGATGTAATCTCTTTGGATTTCAGTAAAGCTTTCAATACTGTCTCTCACAGGATTCTTCTGGACAAAATGTCCAGCACACAGCTGGATAAACACATCATGTGGTGGGTGAGCAACTGGCTCATGGGTGGAGCACAGAGGCAAATAGTAAATGGGGTAAAATCAGACCAGTGACCTGTCACTAGTGGGGTTCCATTTTAGGCTGTGTGCTCTTCAACACCTTCATAAATGACCTGGACAGAGGACTGGAAGTGATACTGAGTAAGTTTTCAGGTGACACAAAACTTGGAGGAGCTGTTGACTCCCTCGAAGGCAGGGAGGCCCTGCAGAGAGACCTTGACAAGTTAGAGGACTGGGCAATGACCAACCATATGAAGTTCAAAAAAGGAAAGTGCTGGATTCTGCACCTGGGATGGGGCAACTCCAAATGTGTGGACACACTGGGGAATGAGATGCTGGAAAGGAGTGCCAAGGAAAGGGACCTGGGTGTCCTGGTAAATGACAAGTTAAATAGGAGTCAGCAGTGCCCTGACAGCCAGGAGGGCCAACTGTGTCCCAGGGGGCATCAGGCACAGCATCACCAGTCGGTCAAGGGAGGGGATTGTCCCGCTCTGCTCTGCACTGGGGTGACCTCAACTTGAATACTGTGGGCAGTTTTGGGCACTGCGATATGAGGAAGATATTGAGCTATTAGAGAGTGTCCAAAACAAGAGGTGGGAACTTTTATAGCAGTAGGTGTGCCTCCTGTCTATTATCAGTTTATCATTTGATGACTCTTAAGGCCCCAGGCTCCTTCTTGTGACATACAACATTGCACAGCAATTATCCCAGAGGAACCCCAACTTCCCACCTACAACTCAGGAAAGTGCTCTTATAATGAATCCCTCTCCCCGCTGCTAGATATACATCAGTCAGGACAGTGTATACAACCTTCATCCACCCTTGCCTGAAGCAAGTGCTGCCTGTTTCACATCCCATCTGATCTGCCTGTAAGGTCACTGCAAACCCCTGTGAAAGGCCATATTTGCACAAGGAAACTGCAAAGATGCATATAGTAAGTAGAAAATCCTGTCATCCTTCTTCTTTCTTCTGATTTCAGATGAGGACAAAACCTTGCTGGCAATTCAAAACCCAGTTCTACAATAGGGAAGTAATTGAGCTTTCATTGAAAGTGAGCACTTGTTGTGTGAAATGAAGCATGAAAGATGTGAAAAGGTAATGGGAGGGTCATTATCCTGGGGTGGAATGCAGCAGACTCTAGACCTTGGGATACCTTCCTCCTTTACATGTTAGAAATATGGACATGTATTTGTCATCAGTACAGTGAGGGTCAAATAGCAAGAATAAAACTAGCACAGTCCACTGTTTGCCAGGGCCTGGTGGGTGACAAAGCACTTGAATGAGTGAGAGGGACTCAGGCTGATACCTGGGAGGAAAGAAGCCAGGGAACCCAACTCCTTACAAGCGCAGAAAATGCTGAAGTGACAGCTCGCTCACATGTTGTGGAAAGCATGGGGTTACAGAGCTGTCACATGAGTCACAGCAGCAAGGTCTGTCACTGCTTTTGTCCCCTGAGAAGACTGGGTATGTATCAGGAAGGTGATCTCTGAAACAAACATGCTATTTTACACAAAGGCCTGCACGTACATCTTGAAAAAAATGCAAGGTTTCTCCAAGCTCCTCTCCAACCTGCATGTAAATCTCGCAAATGCATCCATGCTCAAGTAAAGTAAGCAGAGGTGATAAATGTTTCAATAAATCACATGGCTGACTTCTTCTTTAGCATATCCATTTACAAACTGTAAACAAACCCCAGCAGGTAGTACACCAACAAACCTTGCTATGAAAATATTTGTTTTTATTCTTCCAACATGCTTACAGTGACAGCATAGAAATCACAGAAATAATGTGGATGGCATTTGTTGTTACTGCCTGTTTTGAACATTACTGCTAGCCGTAATGTTCAAAGGCTAGACTTTGAAAGCCAGCTTGCATTACCTTTATTCTGATCCCAAGAAGAAAATGAGGTCAGCTCTGAGAAATACTGAGAATTCCAGCCATGAACACTATTGTTCATATCCATAAAGTATCTTCTCCTCTGAGAAGAAAATAAGTCACTTAAATATAAATCACCTTATGTCAGACTAACTCTGGCCCCTGCCCTATGGATGGCTACATTAGTGAGAGTATTGAAGCTCAGACCATGCTTCACAGACTGCTTTGTGCTGACCTGGCTTCAAGGGTCTGTCTCAGAGAAACTCTGTGGCAGAGTCAGATACTAAAATTTGGTTTCCTAATTTCTGGAGCGCTGCTGCAACCCCCAGTTTTATAAGCTTGTCACCCATTCTTCAGTATTTATGTGTGAACATCATGCTAATTTATGGTGTTTCTTTATTAAGTGTGTCTGAAAAAAATATGGGTTTGTCACAGATCAAGAAACAAAATACTGCATCAGACTGAAGATGAATTACAGAGATCATAATCTCATTCACAACTCAATTTCCTCCGTTTAAAGGCAGGTAAGATCTACTTTGTTAGCACATTTTTTTCTTCTAATTAAAACATTATCTAAATTCATTTTATGTTGAGATTTTGGTGATGGTTTTCTTGCCAAAAGCTCACCCTGCAATAACCCTTTTTCCTTTTCAAAGCTTTTGTCTTACTCTGTATTAGAATATTAATACATCAAACCCAAGATTGTCCTTCCAAAGTGAGAGCATAATTGTACTCCATTTTAGTACCAGAACATCATTCAGCAACAATGAAACTAATTACCAAAAGAACAGTCCACTGTCAGTGTGCCAACTTACTTTTTAAAGTACCATTAGCTGAAGGTATGCACATGTTTTTCTCTGACTATTCCTTGGAAAACACTCTTTGCTTTTGTGCTTATTTCCTATAATTATTCATGCAATTTCACTTTTTTCTTATGATACTTACAGTGAGCAAATTTCAAATTCACAGGTTTGATACTCCAAACACCCTTCTCTAAAGACAAGCATCTCTCAAGCTTTTTTATCACAAGCTATATCCATCTAGAAAAGGCATGAAACCCTGAACACAACAGAGCAGGACCATTGGATTGATGGTCTAGTCAACGTGTTTCAGTCTTAACACCGAATTCTCGCAGCAAAATGTTTGGCATAAATCCAGAGTTCAGGAAGAAGGGTGACGTTTTACTGAGAAACTCAAGGATAGGAAATGAAGGTTGTCACCCTACCATTCTCTAAGAAGAAGGAGCATTGAAACAAATCAAATAAATCAGCATCACTGAATTATTTACTCACAACCAGCCAGGACATATTTGGAACAGTGTTGCTTTAGAGGTGAGGTCAAACTCAATGTTACTGCAGTCTTTGCTGTCAGGTGAGTCATATTTCTTTGGACACCAAATGGTTTGTTTGGTTTTTTTCCACATGACTAAAGTGCTTGTATTCCCTTCTTGTCAATCAACCACAGGGGATTGTCTGGCAGGTTGCAGAACGCTGAGCGACAACTTCAAGGGGAACACCACTAATACAGTAGGAGCGACCATGAAGGGAAAAAAATTAAACTTCTGCTGAGCCCATCTCTAATTCCCTGTTCCCCAGGAATTAGTGCTCAACCAGGCATTCATAAAAGTCAGCTGAAATCTTACAGCAGGAGTCACAGCTCTACAATAAAAGTGCTCATATCACAAAGCAGAAAAGTGTTGCTGTTAAATGCCTATCAAATAAAAGAAAAAGATGCTGGAAGAGAACAAAGGGCTTGGAGGGAGAAGGGGGGGGAGAGCAAAACTGAAAAAAACACCAGCACTTCTCTTTTTATTTTCCTTGAAAGTACCAGCATGTAACTCTCTCTCAAGGTCTGTAACTGTGCTCTGTGTCACTCCACAGCGCAGTCCAGAGATTTTCGGGAAGTCCAAGTGTAACTCTGTGCTTTCGTTAATGTTCTTTATGTTATTCTGCTTGGTGATATGCCTCCAACAAAGAGGCTGAGAAGGCTGTGATGCCTCGTGGGCAGGGATGGCATGCCTGACAGACTGCAGTCCCACAGAAGGTCCCGCTGGAGCCAGCCAGATGCCAGACCACAAGCCAGAAGCCAGTTCAGCTAGATGACTAATTTTCTGCACTCCACACCACTGCTAAGCTGTTTCTGACACCTCCCCCTCCTTTATCTCATGCAACAAAGGCTCTTTTGCAAGGAGGGGCATTTCCATTCAAGGGTAGAAAATCTGTGTATTCAGTATTTTGGGGGGAGGATGAGGGGAAATAATTACACACTACCACAGCCAGTTACTCTGGTTTTGTCTGACTGCTTAGTGAACTTCCAAAGGAAAGCACGTAGTCACTATAGAAACTGCCACATCATATTGTTGTTTATGTTGCCTCTGAGATAAGGAATATTTTTTAATAAGACATTTGTATTTTTTTTCTGTCTTTAGAAAACATTCTACAAGAAATAACTGGGTGCTGTTGTGTGTGGCTGTGTGTGTTTCTCTTTGGTTTTTTTGTTTGGTAGATTGGCTGGTTGTTTCCTTTTAATTATTGTTATTTCTTCAAGTTTGTTTTTTCACCATGTAATAGAATAAAATATAAAAGGGTTTATATGAATATTCATTTCCACAAGTGATAAATGATCAGTCATTTCAGACTGTCTGAGCTTTGTTTTAGTACCAATATGCAGAAGAACCCACAGTGCAGGATAGGTATAGTAAAACCAAGAGCAGAAATAGCAGTCAATCCACAGTTCATTGGGAAGGAGAGGTTCGGCAGGTCCCAGTCTGATGGCCAGTAATTCAAAACTAAATGTCTATGGAGAAAAAAGCACTAGCTGTTTGCACTGACTTTATAGATAACTGAGCTGTCACATGAAAGGTAAAACCTCACAAAAAGCACTGGTACATGCAAAATACCTTGAATCAGTGAAGTTCTAAGTAAATACCTTAAAAAAGACACAGTACATGCAACCACCCAGTGATCATTTACCTGTAATCCACGGTGACCTATTTCTATTTTATTATCTTCACCACTATAGAGCTGAGAAGTTATAAATCATTCAATGGCACAAATGCACTGAACTTCTCCTTTGTTCAAAATCTCACCTCTCAGTTCCCAGGTCTAGTTTTCTTTTATTTCTCTCCACTAAAAGGAATGGAAGACTTTTGCCTGAAGTTTGTGATGTGCTACCTGGGATACCTCTTTTCCCATAGTGAAAGCCTCTTCTTTTGACAGTGTTTCTTGGGACATTTTCATGAATAAAGAATTATGTATTCAGAGATACAGGATTATTCCATGAGATTCTCTGGATGTTTTCCACTCTTTCAGCACAGTCTCCAGTTCAAACTCAACCCCAGCCTGCTCCCTCAGCCCTGTGTCCTCCTGCTCCACTACACAGGCTCAAGCATCCTTGCTCATCCTCAGATGGTACTGTCACCATGTGTGTCTTTCCCAGACCCTCTCCATCCTGAAACTCTCCAAGATGCCAGCTGCCCTTCTTGCCGCAAAGCAGGCTTTTATCTGCTTGTTTCTGCTAGAGCTACCAAGCCTTTACTTTCACCCACAGTTGCAGGCTGCCCTCAGCATGCTGTGTGCCTTGTGCAGAAAGCAGCAGGCAGAAGCATACCTGGGCCTGGCTGGGTGCTTCACGCCCACCTGATGAGGCTGGAGGGCAGCAAGGACAAAGCTAACTACCACACAGTTGGTCCCAGATACTTGGGTGGCAGCAATACCAGGACCTGGGCAATGAGCTCAGACCAGTAAGTGGTCTGACCAACTGGCCTAAAATCTGTGTCTGTCCTCTACAGAGATGCAAGACTAGCAAGCTTGCATTTCTATCTTCATGCCTTCCTTGGAGACACCGCAGCTCTTACTTTGCTGCTACCAGCACCAGAAAGGGCTCCTTTTGATTTTCTCTCTCTTTTTTTTTTTTTTTTTTTTTACATGCCTTCATAACATACTTCATAGTTTAACTCCTGGAAAATTACTGTTAATCAACCATAGGGGACTGGTCATGATCTGAAGTCTGACATGAATAACAAAGAACACAGATCCTGGATCTCTGCCAAGCATTACTTCAGCAGAGTTTTCAGGCCAGTTTTGTGTGAGACACTGGATAAAACCTATCCACCAGTATAAGCTTGACCAGTAGATGCCTTTGTGTATCAGCTTGGCAGATTCATATTGAGATGTCCATTTGCTGCTAGATCTCAAAGTTACGAAGATAAATGATAAATGCAGGCATTTCTGGTGGGCCAAAGGAGTCTGTTCACAGTCCAGTGCTATTTGATATATTTTCATTTAGATGAAAAACATACAACTGGAAAAGTTGGAAGATGAGGCAGAACTGGCAGACTGCTGAATAGATCAGCTCATGGTTACTGTTGGATCTACATCCCAAAGGTAATACAATTTCATACTAACATGTTGCATTGTGTCTATAGATATACATGTAGGAGTGGAGGAGTGAATAGGACACACAAATACAGTCATAGTCTGGAAACCCAGAATACAAAAAGATTCAGAGTCAAGCAGGTGAAACCAATGACCCTGCCCTGCCAGCATGCATAACAAAACAAACAATAAGCACAGAACTATGAGCAGATGAAGGAGGAAGGTGTAACTAACCCCATAGCTGTATGTGGCATTTATACAGCCTCTATGGAATGCCACACCTCTGCTGGGAACCACTGTGATGGACTCGTTGCAGCATTGAAAAAGGCACAGAGGAAAATGAGGAGACTGACAAGAAGTCCAGGAAAAACTATTTACAAAGAAGCACAGTCTAGTCAGTTTAGCAAAGGAAAGGTTAAGAGGTGATTTTCTCCCCATTAGGGAGTAGCTGCATGGGCAAGTGATTACCATTAGCAGAAAACTCTTCAGCAGGCAGAGGCTTAACAAGATCAAATGTCTAGAGGCAGAAGCCAGCTGAATTCATAGTAAAAAACTCAAATGCCTGCTGTTTAAAAAATAATAAACAATATAGCAATTTTCTAGGCCTATGCTATGACCTCGATGTTTTATATAAAAACTGCCTGTTTTTCTTTAAAGATGTGTCAGGAGTTAAGCTCTTGAGGTAGGAATAACTCAGTTATTTCCTATGGACTAGTTACAAACCATGACAACAGCGGCTGCAGATCTGACTCCCAGGTCCAAGTAACACATCTCTTTCCAAGAGAGGCCAGTGTGGGTGATCAGGAAGGGCTCTGAGAGGGGCTTGGCACAGCACAGTGCTTCCAAGGACAACCTCCTCAGTCTCCTCTCTTGACAGGGCTAGGAACCAGCCTGAAGAGAGCTGGACATCCCTGGAGTGAGCATTTAGACTCTATGCACCACAAGAAGAGACATGATGACCAACCAGCCAGAAACCAGCACATACAGTAAACAGAAATGCCACCAGAAGAAAGACCAAACCAGCAAGCCTAAGGAAGGCATCCAGAGTCAGTGAGAAGTGTGGGGAAGAGAACCCTCCCTGCTGGGGCCTTGAGCCAGGGGCAGTGCACAGCTCAGACATTTTCCTCCTCCCCTGTAGCCACCTAACCCCATGTCCAACAATTGCTGCCATTGTCCCTTGAGTCCTCTTTGCCTACTGGTAACACTGGCATCACTCCAGACACCCAACTGCTGCAAAGATATAAGAGCACTCCAGATGTTCCCTCATTTCTTTGTTCTTCCCTCATTCATTCTCTAATGATACCAGTCGTTATCACCTGTCAGCTCTCCTTTATCAGGCCTCCTCCTGCTCATTATCACTGTCCATCTTCCCGGTTTCCCTCCTTTCCCCACATCTCAGCAATGTACAATGTGATAAAGGGTCCACTATGCAAACCCTTAAGCACAACTTTTCCCTGTTGTGTGGCCACCAGAAGTAGGTAGATGCCTGTTGGAAAAATCCCCATTCTTTCAAGGAACTGGAGTGTTTCCAACTAGAGTCTTCCCAGCAAAGGGGAAAAAAAAAAAAAAGCTTCCTAAAACCTAACATAAGAAATTTCATGGAAATACATAAAAACGAAAGTATAGTCAATGCATGGGATAAGAAACTAGAGAGTATTCAGTGCTGTAAAAAATAAAATCAGAAGGGGAAAATAGTTTCAAAGCAGTTGTAGATACTTAGAAGACTGTAGCAGTTACCAGGATTACAGACCTGGTCACACAACATACCTGGGAAATATTATAGCTGAATGTCCTACTTCATTAGTAAAGCTAAATGTTTACATGTCCATATATAAACCATTAGCTCTTCAGAGCAAAGACTGCATGCGTGTAAACAGGTAACACCATCAGGACTCAGTCATTAAACAGAGTAACAAAATGTTCTGTACAGCTCCCAAAAGAGCAGGTAACTGCACCAGAGACTTGTCTGGAAAACCATCATTAATTCTTACAAAATGTTATCAGAAGAAAATTCCACTGCCATCAGGAAGGAGGGCATTTCCCCTTCCCTTTGCAATTGGCAGCTATCTATCTTGGATTCAGAAGCAAATCATGTTAAGACCATAAATCTCAGTGACCAGACTATAGCCTCCTGCTTCTCTGGTCAGCTGGTCACCAGTAAAAGTGAATTTTGTCATCCACCACTAAGATTTTCATAAATGATCTGCACATTCAAACTCAGATGGTGTTTGCAGAAGAATCCTCCACAGACAATCTCACTGCAGTAAACCTCAGGATGTCTGGGCTCCTAGGTCAGATCCTTGCCTGCTCAAGTGACCTGTGCTGCTGTCATTATGGGATGGATTCCCATCAGAGGCTACCCCATGTGAGTGGCAATCAACAAACTCAACTGTTCGCATCCCTGAAGCTAAAAGCCGTGCAGTATCCTTCAGCCCTTAAAAGATTGGTGGCCCTGTTTCTTCTAGTCTGTACAAGCAGGGTACTCTGTATAGACAGATGACAGGAGGCAGGTTATAGTGCAATTTTGGTTCCCCTTCACCAGTCACAGAGGCTTTTAATTGCAGGTTGTATTCTGCAGGGATCCCCTCGCCTGTCCCCATGGTGAAGCAGCCTCTGTTTACTATGCTCACACTCCCTTAGGAATTTTCCAAGAGGAAAATAGCAGCTTCCTTGAACCAGGCCAGTAGACAACATGTTGGTGAGGATATGAGCATTTGATCCCATCTCTTGTCTCTTACCAATCTGAGAGATGTTTTAGCTAAATCTGGAAGCTACATTTTATAGGTATCTGCAGCTGCTTCCAAACAGACTTTGCAGACTGAACTTCGTGTCAGATCCTGAGCTGTGACCATTGCAACAAAGGTAGCCTGATGTGGCTCCATGAAGCTGCACCTTTGATGGCTTCATTAGTTCTTCATTAGTTCTCTTCACCCTGGTGTAACAGCAGTGAGAGCCTTACCTTACCTGCGTATGCTGGATTCAAGAAAAACCTTTGATTCCATGAACAATACAGGATTTCCAGTTTTGGTAGATTTATACCTTTTCCCTTTTACAATCAGTGCAAAATTCTTGACTGTCTATCCCATAAATTCAATTTTTAAAGAAAAATACAGACCTTGTATTCTACAGTTTACACAGCTGTTGGTATAACCCTTGTTATGTTTTATACTTGTATGTCTGAAGGGCAGTTCAGCTAGTAGTCTGA